ATTTTATAGCTGCTAGAGTTGATCTGCGGGGTCTAAAATCGTGTTATCTAGGAAAGAATGTTCCAGCTGCTTTGATAGCCGCTTCGAGTGTGGGCTTAAGTAGTCTCTCACAGAACTTTCTCGCTGTGTCAAGTGTTACACTTACATAGTGGACGTTATGCTGATGACAAGTCGGGATCTTCTTTTCCCTTACTGATTGGCACTAGCCGTTGCTTATTCTAAGGTTCAGCAAATATTCCGAGGCAGACGTTGTACATATTCAGTAGAATTGTCGGTCGCTCTACTGCGAATATTTTCATGCCTATTCCGATCACAGAACTATTACATATAGCTGTCATACAAACTGAATAATCAAAATTGTAAAGTAAACTATTTTATTTGACGAACTATCTTCATAAAATTCGGGATGGCTATGATACAAACTGCAAAGAAAAATTCATATCGGACCACTATAACCTGTTGCATGCTATTTGTATACCTTTTTAGGCTAGAAAATATACACCTGTGAGCTTTAAAGAAAGCACAACCTAATTTCCATAAGAAATCATTACTGGGTTGCTTATCCGTACAAGACTTGCTGAACACCACTAATTGCGTACTTATGTGGCGTCTACTAATGACCTACAATAGCCGGAAATTGTTGTAAGGACATGTCTTGATTACTATTCAAGCACTTCAACAATAACAGAAGAGTATAAAAAGGGTGCAAAATTATGATGTGCAAATTACGTTACAACACAGTTGCAAGCGACAGGAAAATAATAACTTTTACTAGATAACTTAATACAAGCAAAGCTACAGAGCGCTCGCAACAACTCAGAAGCCTCAATGTCATAAAAACATATAATTTAAAATTATAATTATTTTTGAAATATATACATATTTATGACCGAATGAGACAACAAAGTAACAAAGCAAAAAAACTTTCAATTCTTTTAGGGTCCTTGTTAAGGTGTAGAATCGATTTTAGCTCAAGGCAAAATACACAAATCAGCGCTTGAGTGAACAATTTTATAGGGATGCAAGCCCATATCGTTTTTGAAAATCCATCAGGTGCTTGAAAATCTTTAGGCAGGTATAAGAGAAATGGCAAGAGAGCTCGACACCTCTCGCGAGTTCGTTCCAATGATTTTGGTGGATATTTTGGGTATGAAACGTCGAGCAAGACGACCGCTTTCAAGTCATTGATGAATAATTAAATATTTTACGTTATATTTATAATTTCCGGGTGCCTTTTTTTCACCACGTATCTATATTTCATGACAAAAGCAAATGTCTTTAAAAAGCCGTAATTTTCGTCCGAATCCGATCAAACTTAAAATGGAATTAAAGCATTCAGAAAAAGTTATGACCTAACCGCCTTAAGTATTTGCCAATAACCAACAAAATGATTTCCAATAAATTATTTGCTCACACACACTTAACATACATATTTAAGATTTACGCAAAGCCACATTTAAAATCGAGAAAGAGAAAAAATATTTGAAAATACATAACAAATAAAATGCCGCGAGGAACGACCTTCGGCTTAAGCCTAAGCATCACTTAACAGCACATAAGGCAACATGGAATAAGAAGTTCACTCTTTGTTTTAATACATTCTTTTGATTGTTGCTTTTGTTTTTATGTTTCTGCCAGCATGCGGTAATAATCACTTCAGAGAAAATGGCAAGGAGTAGCTGCGGAGGCAATACTTTTTATACCCTGAACAGGGGGTAATAGTTTGTCACGATTATTGCAATACCCAGAGGGAAATGTCGGAGATTCTATAAATGCTGAGCATGACGAGCTGAGTCGACTTGACTAGGTCTGTTTGTCTCTTTATCTCTATATTTTCAAACTTGTTCCTCACTTTTTGCGATATCGATCTGAAATTTTGCACATATTCTCCTTTCGCTTAGTAGCGGCTTATTTCTCGGAACCGCCGTTATCGGACTTATAGCATATAACTGTCATACAAAGCAAATTCTTGTATGTAAAATTTTTCATTTGTCGAGATATTTTCACGAAATTTTGCATGATATATGTATTATCGAAGGCAAAGATACAATCACCCACAGAATTCATAAGTTAGGTCAACTATAGCACATAGCTGCCATACAAAGTTACCGATCAAAACCAAATTCTTGTATGGAAACTTTCATATTTGTACAGGGTATTACAGCTTTGGCGCAAGCGAAGTTAATGATTTTTTTTTTGTTTTTGTGATTTATTTTGCGCTGATTTATGACCACAGCCAAACTTGAAGTGAATTATGATATCAGCGCAAAGGTATCATAAATTCTGCACACATAATAATTAGAATCGAAGAAACGCTGCAAGCATTTGTAGATATTGCTACGCATATTATTTTTATTAATCTTCATTTCTTTATTATTAATATTTTTTTTTTTGTGCATTTTAAATGCATTTCTGAATTATAACAGATTTTATATTGTATATTTTGAAATTAACAGCTGTTGTGGAACTAGAATTACGTCTTCTGTGTACATGTGAAAATATTAGCGTTGCCATATTTTATACGCATATGTGGAATGCAAAATGATTTTAAATTTTACACAAACATACAAATGGGCACAGTGTACACAAACGACTTGCAGCCAGCTTCACGAATATTTTGAAGACGGCAGCCACAAACAAACAGCTGATTTCATATACGTATATACAGCATATCCATATAAACAATAGTTTGGCATTCGGCATATGTAATTGATAGACATAAGCTGTTTGTTTACACTAAAAATGAACAATCCAGAAAATATAGTTAATTTGGTGACAACAATTGCTAAAATTGCGCATATAGTAAATACGACTAATGAGTTGTACAAGAAGCTACAGGAAAGCAACAAAGGGTTGAACAAAAAGCTACAGGGAAGCAACAGACGGTTCAACAAGGAGCTACATGGAAGCAACAGAGGGTTGAACAAGGAGCTACATGTAAGCAACAGTAAGAGGAATGTGCGTCCGGTTAACTTTACACACCAAGCAGAAGATTTCTTTGAAAGCGATGTTGAGCAGCTAAAAGAATACGATGAGGATTTTTTTAAAGCTGCTCCTTTGAATGCTGCTAGCTTCAGTTTATTATTATCACGATTAAGAAAACAAATGGTGCGATGGTCCACAGGGAAAGCAATTGCGCCCGAGAAGCGTTTGGCAATAACATTAATGTAAGTGAAAGTAAATAATTATTATACTGATGTGCAAAAGCGTTTAACAATTTCAGGTTTTTGGCAGAAGGATGTCATTTTCATGTGATTTCACAGGCATACAGCCTTGGACTTACAACGATACGAAAACTCGTATATGACACATGTGACGCTATTTGGGAAGAATTACATTTTGACTATTTGTCACCTCCAAACGTAAGCGAAATTAAAGACATTGCAGAAAAGTTTTATGTAAAGACTGGCATGCCAAATTGCATGGGAGCTATAAATGCAAAGCACATTCATATAACAAGGCCGAAACAAGGCGGATCTTTGTACTACAATTTCAAAAAAAGTTTTAGCATTGCCTTAGTGGCAGTGTGTGATGCTGATTACATATTCAGACATGTAGACGTCGGGGCGGAAGGAAGCCGAAGTGATGGTGGAATACTTGCGCGCAGTGCCTTTGGCAAAAAATTGCTGGATGGCAGTCTAGAAGTTCCAAGTGACACAAACTTACCGGGTACATCGACTAGCTTTCCGTATTATTACGTCGGGGACGGTACGTATCCACTGAAACCAAATTTAATGCGACCATTTCCCGGCCGCAAGTTACCAGAAGATAAAGACAAATATAATAGAGCATTGTCTAAAGCGCGAGAGCACATAGAAAACGCTTTCGGTATTTTGACTACTCGCTGGAGAGTGCTGCAGACGACAATACATGCTAGCCCAGAAAATACAGTGAAAATTGTTTTAGCTACAATTTTACTTCATAACTTTTTAATGTTACACAATGACACAGACTACTTCACACTTGAACTCGTTGACCACACAGTCGGCAATCAAGAAATAAACGGCCGTTGGCGAGAAGATGCTAATTTCCTTAAAACGTTTCAACTAGGAATTTCTAATCGCTCATCGACAAACTCATTTCAGTTGCGTGAAAAACTAAAAGAATTTATTTCAAGTAATGCTGCGTAATATTGATAATTTTTATATAATATTACATTTGTCATTAAAGCACGAAGCTTATTTTACATTACAAAAAAAAGTTGTTTAATTCAAAAAGATCAGGCTTACATTGATTATTAACTACTTAAAAGTAACTTACTCTATTTGCATATCTTCATATTTTCATAAACTTCAAAAATTAAATGCGATGTCCTGCTTTTGTGGTTGACCTTACACGTTTTATAGGAAGCACGGTGGCTCTTATTTCTTTTTCGAACTCTAAATCTATTAAAGAATTAAATATTAGAATTGGTTTTATTTTATATAGAGTTTACCTTACCTTACAACCACGTGGATGCATCAATTTCTTTTCAACCATCATCTTTTAAGTTTTTTTTTTTTTAAATGATGGTGAGATAAATCGTACATAAGTGGACGGTTATGTACTTTTTCGTTCAACACTTCAGCTAAATCCATTGTTTAGCATTGTAACATTTCATTTGTTAACAAAACCGAATTTAACAATGAAACGTAAAAATCTAATAAAAAAAATCACAGTGCAAATAAATTAACGCGATTTGTTTTTTAAAAAACAAATAACAGAGATACAAAAACCAGCTTCTTTAACAATTTAAATACGGCTGCGACACATCAAGCAGCTGATGTACACAACTTTGTTGTTGCCAAACTAAAACTATTCAATTAAATACATTTAAATATGTTGTTCAAAATTAATTTTTTTATGCAAAATATAGTTAAGTACTATAGGACGATTGATTTCTTCGTTTATACTTGATATGCGCACTCACAATAACACACGGCTAACTACACTTTGACCCTGTATTTCTTCCCTTCCAAATAAGCATTTAAATAACAACGATAGCAAGAATTAAGACTTACCGATCTAAACGAGGTTATACATATCTCCGAAAGTGCACCTTTGCCGGATAATATCCGGGTAAATTTTAGTAACGTACAAACGGCTTTTGTGGGAATTGAACAACAACGCTAGCACTTCTTCATTGCTTAAACGTTTTGTAAAATAATCACTACACTTAACTTCACTACAGCACACACTTAATTTGGCATTAATTAATTATATTTTTTACACTTTTAACTTTATGCTCAAATTTGCAGTTTCTTCTTAATTTTCATATTCGCGGCAACTGTCAAATGCTAGAAATGGCGGCGGAAGCTTGACAACACAGTATAGCATTTTTTTACGTGCTCTTGCTTAGTTTGTGCACCACCCTGTGGCAAGTGTGGAGTGAATATAACAGAAGGGTATACAAATGCTTAATGTATTTATTCTTTTTTTCATTTTTTATGTCCTTTTCATATTTGTTCTGTAATTTTTACTTTATTTTAATAACTTCAAAAAAGAAGAAAAATTAATTTTGAAAAACCTTAATAAAATATCTTGAGTGTTGTCAAACTTTCGCAATTGTTGTGAACAGCTGTATGTTGACATTACTATTGAAGAAGTAAATTCAAATTTGGTTTTCAAGTGTTTTGGTAACATTTAGTTAATTTTAAATTTAAAATCCTGAGAACAATCTTTAGAACGTGGATAAATCAGATAATAAACCTTTACCCAAATGGCCGCCAAATATCAACAGTAGATGCCTTCCAAGAAACGTAGTCGACCTGAACGTCAAGCTATTTAATGTTATGCTCATACTCTACAATTTTAAGTTATTCCCCGCAATATTAAACAGTTATACCGCCCACGTACCTTATATATTTTCCGTTAAAAAAATATAATTCCTAACCGAGTTAAAAGTGAAATTTTCACTTAATGTGAACTTTGGCTTTATTTTTTATTAATTCATGGTTTATGCAAGATATAATTTGATTACAAATTTATCATGCAATAATCTAAAACTACATATGGCAAGAGTTGTAAGCATAAAATAAAATGAAATATATTGACAACTATGAGGTTTGACCAGAGAACGTACTCCTGCCGAGTCAAAAGTGGTAAAATCCACTAATAGAAAATTCATGGCTTTTGACAGTTTACATGCTTGTCCGTAGTTGGACCTTCCCTATAAATGTACGTTCTCTGGTTTGACTAGCTGATTTTCTGTTTGCAAACAAGCACAGGAGCTAGACCATATTTGATAGACGTCAAAAAAAATATAAACAAAGAAAAATAGTGAATAATTCATACACAGTTAAAAGTGATAATAAATGCTTTGGTGATAAGCTAACTTAAAAAGAACTTAAATTATTGCTTGTTTAAGCAAGCTTTTGGCAAAAATATCTTTGGATTGCTCTTTTGGTGTTACTGGTAAAGAAAAGTGCAAAGGAAGTATGGGAAAAATTGCTAAAAAAATTACAAATTCATATGGGAAACTTAAATACAGTCAATTCGTAGCTTTAGTGTTGACTTGCAGTGCACTTATAGATAATGCTAAATGTTATGGCACATTCTAAAGCGATAAATAATATAAAAAAAAAGCAGCCATTTCATACGCTGCACCTTCACTTGTGCTTCATATACATGGTGACTATTTTGTCCAATATATTCTCCACGGACTGTTGTTCTTGACGAAATGTCTCCATCGCCTTTGCCGGCACAATCCAGTTGAGGAATTCTTCAACATTTCGGCGCATACGTTCGATAGCCGACAGTGACTGATCTTCGCACGCTTTGCGGTTGGCTAGCTTTAGCGATGCGACGACAACATTGTCGATCAGCCGCTTCTCGTAGCCCAATTTCTGCAGCTTTTGCTGTGATGAGATTTTCTTCAGCAGCAATGCCATAAGGAAGCGTAGGTGTGACAGCGTTTGCGAGTCATTATTTTTGGCATTCTCCTCCTCCACATCGACTTTGCAGCTGTCACAGTTTTGCATATGTGACTGAAGTTCCGCTTTGATTTTGAAGAACTGGTGGCAGCCTTCGCACATATAGGGATTGGTTTGTTTGTGGATCTTCTTCATATGTGTCTTGAGGTGAGCTAATTGCGAGAAAGCAACCACGTCCGTACAAATCAGGCATTGGAATGGTTTCTCGCCGGTGTGCTTGCGTATGTGTAGCTTAAGAACGCTGGAGTAGGCATAAGTTTGCCAGCAAATCTGTAAAAAGAAAGATAGATAAGTAAATAAATTTTGATTTAATACTGAACTGGATATTTTAAGTTTGCCACGAAGTTTGTAACACCCAGCAGGAAACTTCGGAAGCTCTTTGTTGTTGTGGTTGTTTTAACGGTTATAACCGTTTGGGTGGTAAGGGTCATTTGCGTTGTCGTCGAGATCATCTAACGGGAGGCACAGGAAACTGTTTCGACGGAGTCGGACCAAAGGGAAGAGGGTGTTAGATGAGTAGGGTTAGTAGGGCATGCAAAGAGGTGGCCAGTATCATGCGAGGACTCGTTGCATGCAGGACATACATTGGGTATGTCTGGGTCAATTCTGGATAAGTAGGAGTTTAACCTGCTACAATATCCAGAACGAAGTTGCGCTAGGGTCACTCACTATTCTCGCGGCAATTGGAGCTCTTCGTCTGCAATAGGTGGTGGTTTGACTCCAAGAACGCCATTCACGGGAAGGGAGTCGGTGAAGGTGTTGATGGCTCCACTGTGGATGGCGGTCAGTACCTGTCGAAAGTCAGTTGAGTCCGAAGTACGGTCGGCGTACTGTACGACGTCGTCGACGTAGTCAAGGAATGACCTTTTGATGCTCCTGAGAGGCGGTTCCGCTCCAAGCAGATGGCTGCAAGGGTGATTCCTTCGGAAACATCCAGCAGAAACTGTTTGGAGAGGAGTTCATTATGTTCCTTTACAGGAAGCATAAGCGTCTCGCTGTGGAGGTGTTCAATGGGAGACATCAAAAGCATCCCGTCGTCTAATTATGTTGCGGCTCCGTACTTTGGCAATAAACGCGTTCGTGTGTTCCCACAACAGCCGGTTCTACGGTACCGGTATTGTCCCGGATTTTAGGGTGCAAACGTGCTTCTTATTTTTAACTACGTTTAAAGACGACATTGTACTCACCCTACACTGATACGGGCGCTCACCAGTATGCATACGCATGTGCACATTGTACTGTGACTTCTGCATGAAATACGACTTGCACACCTCGCAAACATGTGTCTTCACATTCGTGTGGGTTTTCATGTGCTTGGCCAGTGCGTCATCTTCGATGGTCTCCTTACAGATCTCACAATCGAACTGGCCCAGCTTGTAGTGTAGCTTGTTGATGTGTGCCTTGAGCACCGGTTCATTTGGAAAGTGCTCCTTACAGATCTCACAATAGTGCTCGGGACCATTTTCATGACGATCCATGTGTGCGCGCAAATTGGAGGGTGTGGAGAAGGCGGTGGAGCATTTCTCACATATATACTGCTTGGTGCTGTCCTTATGATGGCTAATCACGTGCTGTTTCAACTAAATGTAGATAAATAAGGAAAGCAAAAAGCAATTAATAATTAATGATAATATCCGAAAATTGCTTGAGACAAGCACTGGCACTTACATGACCACCGCGCGCAAAGCGTTTTTCACACACCGGGCAAGCGTACGGTTTTTCGCCCGAGTGCAGACGCATGTGCAGCCGCAAACGCTCCTTCACCGCAAACATTTTCGGGCATTGCGCGCAAGCGAACTGCCGTTGATTTGTGTGCGCGCAATTGATGTGATTCCTGAGATTGACCGCCTGCCGATAGCAGTTGCCGCATAGCTCGCACTTATATGGGCGCTCATCCGAGTGTATGAGCATGTGACGACGCAAATCGTTATTGCCACGAAATTGCTTCGAACAAATGTGACAAACGTGCACCTTACGCATAAACACTTTGCCCGAGCGCTTATTCGCTGCTGGCGTCAGTGCCGCCTCAGCTGTCGAGGCTGCATCGCCAAGCAATTGTGCCGAATCATTGCAGTCATTTGCTGTATGCGTTAGTTCCGATAAATCGCCGGCTGATTGTGTAACATCTGTCTCAGAGAATGCTGAATCCGTCACTGAAATCGAGTTTTCTGAAACTGTCGTTAGGATAATAACGGATTTATCTGCTGTATCCTCGGCATTAATCGCGTCGTGCGCGGCTTCAGCTGCCGGTATGACAATAAAGGCTGCGTTGACAGCCGCTGCGGCTAAATTGGCTGCGGTTAAATCGGCTGCTGCTGCTAATTCCTTGCCGGTAGTTTTTTCTGCGTTTGTGTTTTCAGCCTCTGCTGTTTCGCCGATTTCAAACGCTGCTGTCTTGTCTGCCTTCTCAGCACGCACCGATGGTCTTGCCGCGTCCTGTAAGTGTTCTATTGCCGGCGTTGCATTACCTGCATTACTTCCACAAGCTGTGTGATCTGCTGCATCACTTTCGCAAGCTTTCAAATCTGCTGCTTCACTAGTTTTTTGTTTCTTTGCCACTGTTGAACTGGTGTCTTTGCTTTGTCTTCGTCCTCGCTTCGTTGCTTTTGCGTTAGTAATGCGTCGACGTGCTTGTTTTTTCTTTGGCGCGGCCTGCGCGTCCTCCTCGTCAGCGCCGTCGTGCACTGTGCGCGCCTCGGGTGGCGATGAAAGCGAAATACCGCTATCGGTTTGAACGCTGACACCATCTTCTTTGGAGAGCAAGCGGCGTCTGCGCACCATTTTTTGATTGATTTTTGAGAGAATTTAGAAATTTAGGATTTTTTTTTTCAAAAATTATTTTTTGAGTGCATTTAAATTTTTAAAAGTTTTTTAAATTTTTTTTTATTATTTGTAATTTTCTTAAAGTTTTTTTAATTTTTTGTAAATTTTCTTAATTAAAACTTTTTTTAAATTAATTTTTTTAATTACATTTTTTGTAGCTCTTTAAAGCACCGTCACCAGAAGCATAAGCTATACTCTATCTTCTCTTCACTCCTTTATATGTCATTTATAGTTAGATTGAAGTCTTTATAATTACAACTCAAGCATTATGGCATTTAGGGTTTACTATAATTATGCATTGGGTTAAATCTTCTCAAGCGCCGTCACTGCAGTTATTTTGTTAGTTAATTATTTTAAATATTTCCTTCGATTTAAATTTAATACACACTTCCGTACAGTCCTTAATTTTACAAAACCAACACCAAAAATTCACAAATATTGTGTAATGTTTATGCTTGCATGCCTTTAAATATATATTTATATAAGTTTATACACATAGTTCCTTAGTTGC